ATTTTGATGACAAACATATTGTAGAACATGCTAATCTATGACTTTGACTTAGCATTTAGTATTCGCAAATATTTACATTTTCTCGAAGTACTAATTACATGTCAGTCAATATAACAAAAAATTTATTTGATATAGGTAAAATGTTATTTTTAATAATGTTAAAGGAAATTTTTCAATTACAGTTGTAAGGCGGTAAAAAAAATTTAACAACAACGTATTTTTTTAAAATAATGTTTAGTATTTAGCTCAAACCTAGACAGTAATTTTAATAACTAATGGAGTTTTCTATCTAATTCATTCTATAAAATTGAACACGGCAGTTTTCAGATCCTAGAAGCTATTTTTTTAACAATGCTATTTTAAAGAGAATGATATGAGCATTTTTTACGACCTTCCCTTAAAAAGTTAAAAGTATCACAAAAACTGGTTTTTTTTAGTCGATTCCTCAATAGATTTCGTTTTCTTTTCTGATACTTGTAACTGTTTAATGAAAGGTTGTAGCAAATGCTCACTTTGTGGTCTGTAAAATGTTATTTTTAAAACGTAGCTTGTCGAACCTCACAACTCCTGTGGTTGATATTTCGAAACCATACCATTATAGCTTATCTATGAAATCTTGCTATAGATTGTGTTAGATAGAAAAATACGTTGTTGTTAAACTTTTTTCCATTATTTTACATTTAAGTTTTCGTTTATCTACGTAAGTTCAGAAGTATTAAAATAGGGTCAAGAAATTTTACATGTTCAATTAAGCCATACAATGCAATATATGGAATATCGATATGTACTCTACGTTTCAAGGTCTGGCTTTGCTTCTTTAGTGACATCTATTGATGAAAAATTCAATCGGCTAAATGATTAGTTACGATGAATTGATCAACTAATTTTTTTTTTCTTTGTGCCTAAATGTTTGTTATATTTTTCTTTTTCAACTTTCTACTTATGATTCATCAAAAAGGTTTTATTTAGTAACGTCAGCTGATTGGATTTGTTATTAGTGTTTTTCTTGTATTATCTTCTAGCGGTATATACATATATATGCATTTATAAACGAGATATATTCTTAACATAACTGTTAAAAGGATATTTAATTGTAGAATATAAATAAATATATATATATATATAGATTTAAAATTAACTGCCTGAATGTCCTATGTATCATCAATTGAATTACGAAAAGTTCGACCAGAAGCTGTCAAGTAAATTAATTTATTTGAATAATATTTTTTTTGTTTTTGTTTTATGTTTATATATTATTTCTTTTAGTGAAAAAAGTGTAATTGAATCAGTTGTTAGTCTTCTTCAAGATGTTGTAGAAAAAGTTCCTCAAGTAAGTTTTAATGATTTGATAATAAGCAAAACAAAAACAAACGACATATTTTCATCAATAATTTAGGCATATGCGATATCTTCACGTCCAACAATAAATAATGATCAATTAGAACCAATTGAATGGGTTCGTTTTCTTTCTAATGCACATTATTGGCATTCATCAATACGTACGGATTCATTAATTTTATTAATTGCTTATAAAAGTACTTTAACATTATGGACAATTGAAACAAATGGTATAGCAAGTGAATTATTTTCAATTCGTGAACATAATATTTGTTCAGCATGTTTATTAACAATAAATATATCATATGATGATACATATTCATCTTATCGACCATTAATTGCATTTGCTAAATCAGCTGGACCACCATCAATACAAATACGTTCATTAAAAAATGATCAACAAATAATTAAATTATTAAATTTACCTGGTATTGGTATTCAAATTGAACCAATATTAATTGAATCAAATAATTCTGTACTTATATGTGCTACACATACATTTATTATTGGTTATGATACAATAAAATTTAATGAAAAATTTTTTTTAACAAATTTATATTCATCATTACCATTAACATTATCAACACGATGGTTAACATTTGTTGATTATCGTCTTTATTTAATTCATCAATCATCAGGTGGAATTAATAGTAATATATCAGAACAGAATGTATCATATACAGGTGTAGTTTTAAATGCAGCAAAATCATTATCAAAAAGTGTTGTTAAAATAGGTGAAAGTGTATTAGGTTATAGTGGACAACAAATAAATAATTTAAATTTAAATGAAAAAATATCATCATCTCAACAACAATTATCATCAACAATAAATAATACGACAAATAATAATAATCATAATAATAATAATAATCATAATATAAATACAACACGTCATAGACATGGATCTGGAAAAGATGAACCACAAGCAGGTGTAGTAACAATTGTTGATACAATTAAATTATTTGGAGTAAGAAAAATAAATAACTAAAGTTTTTTTTTTTCATTATTTTCTTTTGATTAGTCAACAGTTCATGATGAAAGACAAAATTGGATTATAGCTCATTTTCAAGCTCATACTGAACCAATTGGATATTTACAATTTAATCCAAGTGGACATTTACTTGTAACATGTGATACTAGTGGACATTATTTTAATGTATTAGAAATTCAAGCATCACCTTATCGTTGTACAAGAACATTTATTAAACATTTATATACGTTATTTCGTGGAGATACTGATTGTCGAGGTAATAAAGAAGAATATATTTGTCTTTCTTTTTATTTTTTTTAATATTGATTATCTTGTATTTTTTTAGTATCTCATATGACATTTACAACAGATAGTCGATGGCTTGCTGTATCAACAAAACGAGGAACAACACATTTATTTGCTATTAATC